CAGCAGGCAACAGGCTCCGTTATGGCAGGTTATGCGGCCGTGCTGGAGCCTCGGCCGCATAATCTGCCATAACGGAGCCTGATGCCTGCTGCCTTGTTCTGGTGACAGTCGGCCCGGCTCGCGGCAGGCGCCCCCCGCTATCTATGTGCCCGGGGCGAACGCACCCCCCGCCCCCCCGGTAGTTACGCCACTGTGTTGTTGTATTAGATGGTCATATGTTTAAATGTTTTGTTATGTCTTGATGAAAAACAATAAAAACTTTTGAAAGATAAAATCTTCCTTCCTAAGGCATGAAGAATGTGGCACCCTGAGGGGGCGATGGACTCATTAGTAGAGGGCAGAAAGCCAAATGGTGGCCTAACACATATACCATCTGGATCAGAGTACATGGGAGAAACTTCAGGTAACCCCCCACAATCAACAGTAGCGCTGGCCATCTCTTTTCCTCTGTCCTTTTCATTTAGATTCTGCCATAGTGAGAGGGCCCAATAGTAGAGCTGCAGCTAACGATTATTTTCAAAATCGATTAGTTAGCCGATTATTAGGTTCGATTAATCGGTTAAACAATAAAATAAAGTTTAAAAAATGGCTCCAGTGATAGGACTACTAGTTTGTATTGAGGTTGTAGTCCATCACAGGAGCAAGCTTGGAGCGGTGGAAGTAAAAAAGAAAAAAAAGATAGTGTGGTGTGCAATATAGTGAAATGGAAAGTGTAAAATTATACAGCAATGCATGCAGAATGGCACCGGCTATAGAGGACTACAAAACCCAGCAAAAGCACATTATACAGCGCAATGCAGAATACCGCCAGCTATAGAGGAATACAACAAATCGCAGCAATAGTACATAATAGCTGGCGGTATTCTGCATTTCGCTGTACAATGTACTATTGCTAGGTTTCGTAGTCCTGTATAGCTGATGGTATTTAGCATTGTACCACTTTTATAATGTATTATTGGTGGGATTTGTTGTAGTGCTCTATAGCTGCTGGTATTCCACATTGCGCTGTATAATGTATTATTGCTGTGACTTGTAGTCCTCTATACAGCGCAATGCACAACAAATCCCAGCAATACATTATACATACAGTGTATAATGTATTGCTGGGATTTGTATTCCTCTATAGCTGATGGTACATTGTGCTGTATAGTATA